CGAGCCTACCGTAGCCTGCATCGGTCGGAGAGCAATGCGATTCGCCTCGGCCTGGCACCCGCCGTCGTGTGCCGCACTCTGGCCGCATCTGCCGCACCCCTCGATGGCGCTTCAGCGGCTGGCTACGTCAATGACCCCGGGCTCGTCGCCAGAGGCATCGCTGCGGGCTCCAGCTTCGCGACCACGCACGTTCGGATCTACTCGATCGACGCGTACGAAGCTCGACAGCTCTTCGTCCTCACGAGGAGGAGGAGGAGGAGGAGGAGGAGGAGGAGGAGGAGGAGGAAGAGGAGGAATAGGAGGAGGTCGACGGGTCCGCGTTCGGTGTGTGCGAAGCTCGACAGCTAGACAGACGACAACATACTGGCCTCTGTGGGCCCGCAGGGCACTCGCCCTCAGGGCATCATGGCGCTGCAGCCCGCATGCTCCACTGCAGTATCGCGGGGAACATGGACTCTCCCGCGTGAGGACACGATTGCGACGAGCATCTCATCGGGCCCGGCAGCAGCCAGAGCTCTGCAGGACAGCGCCGCGACCTCGCCGGCCCCCACCTTCTGGCCACGACGAGGAGCCGGAGGGTGGACGCCACCGCTGGGCTGGCCGGGCGCAGAGGCACGCGCTCAGCCAAGCCTGGGACTGGGATGCACACCTTCGGGAGTAGGCTCAAGCGTCTGAAGAAGCAGCGACCCAACCTGGGGCGACGCGCGCTGAAGATCGGCAACAGTGGGCCTCTCGGACCACGAGCTGCTCAGGGTCAGGAGGGGCGCTGGTTCTGCCATTCAACCTGCCGCCGGGATGCGTTCGCTCTCGGGGGTCACGACTTTCGAAGGCGGCCCTGCCTGGTTCGGGTCCGTGGGCCGATCAGTCGCTACGCGCAGGAAGTGTGGCTCCTGTACACGAGGGCTTTCGACGACACGCGGCCTTGGGGGGATCTCAGGAGTGCGGAGCCAGCTTTCAGGAGCGACCGTAAGGTCTCGTGGCGCAGGGTGGCGGGCCCGATGATGGCCCTAAGACGTTTGCTCGCTCGCATCGGATGGACGATGGACGAGTTCGCGGAGCTCACGGACGACTTCGGGGCCCCCACCTCGCTCATCCTCACCTCCCCCAAGCTCGTGAGCACTCTCCTTCGGCAGGCTGCCTTGAGGGGGCCCGAGGGGGACGCTGCCAGCAGGGAGAGGGTGCAAGGCAGGGTTTGTTTCGACATCCTGAAGGATTTCGAAACGTTTCACGCCGAGGGAGAAGGGTTGCATTGGGAGTGTCACTACCAATGGAGTCTGGACTCGAGTTTGGGCGCTCTCCTTTCTCTTGGCTATCAACTGGGGTCGACGGACTACCAGCTGTGAGGCGAATACCCTGACACCCTGCTGCTAGGGTTATGGCGTTACGTCCTGCCAACCTGCCAAGTGGAGAGGGAAGATATTATCGGAGACAAGTATGCTCGCATGGTTCAGCAGGAGTTGGAAGCAGAGTCGCATGACGAGTTGTTGCTGTACACTCGGGGCCTGTTCCGTCACCCGAGAGATGCGTTCCCTAAACCGTTGACCGATGGATGGGGTTGTGCGTCAGGCTCATGCTCCTGGGGGCTTCGGGGTTCCCGCCGGGGGAGATGGCATTGATCGCGCTGCGTCTTCAACACAACTTTGCGCTGACAGATCCTGCGACCGTCACCCCATGAAGGAGCTTTCGAGGGCTGGTGCTGGGGCCGTTCGCTCTCCTGAGGGTGACACCCTGGCGTCCCTGCACGGGACCTTTAGATGGGGGCCCATTGGCCCCTAACGCCGCAAGATGCTGACTACGGGATTGTTGCCGCTCTCTTGCACATGCTCTGCGGGTCCACGTTCACGTATTGAGATTGTCGGTCGGCGGTGAACCACTGGCGATTGGCCAGGCCCCTCGCACTGTCACAGAAGGCGCATGCAGGTGTCATGCCCCAGGCGTTGCACGGAAAAGTCGGGCACGTGTCCGAAGTGACCAAGGTCAGGGCCCGTCTTGAGCCGGCCAGTCTCTCCAGCTAGTGAGTATGCGAGGAGAGAAGACAATCATCACACTAACAGACAGGCCAGCGTTGGCCGCGAGCAGCAGCCGTTACCTACCTCCGCTGGGGCCGACGACGTGGCGAGGAAGGTGTCGGTTGCGAGGATGGTGGCGACTTTCGCCGCGAAGCTTCTGCCCTCCTGGGCTCGCCTGGACCTCCAGGGTGTTCCCTGGATCAGACCCGGCGCGCGTCTCCCTGGCACGCCTGACCAACTCTGGCATACCTGCGCTAGAATTAGGGGCTCGTGGCACTGGCAGTGCACCGTTTTCCCGAGAGGCGCGAGGGGAACTGCACCACCTAACAGTTTCTGTTCGGGGCCCCGGGGCCTCCGCGGATCGAGTGCGAACGATGTGCGGGACCTCGGGCACAGGATTACGGCGTTCGACTGCTCGGACGGCACTGTGCTCGCGGTCGGCTGCAGATCCAAGCTTTACTCCCTGGGCGACCAGGTGAGGGGGCATCGCAGCAGCTGTCGCCCCAGCACATGCCCCTCTCGAACCACCTCGTGAGGGGGAGATGCGCCCCAAGCAGACTGGAGTGACGCTGCAGTCCGTGGATCTTTCCAAGGAGGGAGTGAAGGACCTGCCCGCTCCCCCCGAGCCCCCCCCACATTCGCTGTGAGGAGGAGGAGGAGGAGGAGGAGGAGGAGGAGAAGGAGGAGGAGGAGGAGGAGGAGGAGGAGGAGGAGGAGGCGAGGCGAGACGAGGCGATCCGCATGAGGGGGTGGTCGTCCCACTTCAGCTGAGAGACTATAAAGGCTCCCCTGCGTGAGTAGTGTGCAGCAAGGACCCGACAGCCCTTCGACACCATAGAGGAGGGAGGAGGAGGAGGAGGAGGAGGAGGAGGAGGAGGAGGAGGAGGAGGAGGAGGAGGAGGAGGAGGAGGAGAGGGAGGAGGAGAGGGAGGAGGAGAGGGAGGAGGAGGAGGAGGAGGCGGAGGAGGAGGAGCAGGAGCAGGAGCAGGAGGAGGAGGAGGAGGAGGAGGAGGAGGAGGAGGAGGGTCCTCGCGCGTCCCTCCGTCGCGCGGCCTCTGCCCTCAGGCCTGGGGAGGCGGCCACGGAAGGCCGCCCCCTCGGCCTGCTCCCGGCCCTCCCCTCGCGAGGACCGCGGGGCCACGCCGCACGCCCGACGCTGCGCGACCCCACTCTCCCCGCGCCCCCCCCCGCCGGACTGACACGCCTTCCCCGTGCAATCGGCTCGGCGGCGGGGGGTGGCCCGCCCCCCCCCCTCTCGGGCGTTCCGCGGATCGGGGGCCGGCCGCGCCCATGCCTCGGGCGAGGGGGCGGCCGCCCCGGGTCGTGCCCGCGACGAGTCCCGGCGAGGGCCGGCTCGTCCCCTGCCCGCCCGCGGGGTGTGGCCGCTCGCTCGTTCGACCCTTCAGGCGCTCCTTGCGGTGCGGACTGGGGCCTCGCCCACTCCGCGAGGCGGGCTCTGGAGGAGCCGTGCGCCGGACCCCGCCTGCTGTGCCTGGCCGCAGGAGGCGCTGGGCTTGCACAGGTGCCCAGAGCGCGTCCTCAGAATGTCCCAGCGTTCTGGCGGCGGCACCCGTTCCATGTGGTTGTGCTGCCGTGCGTTCACCTGTTGGTGTTTCTCCTTCTCCTCCTCCTCCTCCTCCTCCTCCTCTCCCTCCCCTCCTCCTCCACCTCCTCCTCCTTTTCCTCCTCCTCCTCCTCCTCATCCTCCTCCTCCTCCTCCTCCTCCTCCTCCTCCTCCTCAACATCATCATCATCATCATCATCATCATCATCATCATCATCATCATCATCATCATCATCATCATCATCATCATCATCATCATCATCATGATCATCATCATCACCATCATCATCATCATCATCACCACCACCACCACCATCATCATCATCATCATCATCATCAGCAGCATCATCCTCATCGTTAACATGATCAGCATCATCATCATCCTCCTCATCCTACTCATCATCATCAGCATCATAATAATCAGAATCGTCGTCATCATCATCATCACCATCAGCATCATCATCCTCATCATCATCAGCATCGGCATCGTCATCATGGGCATCATCATCAGCAGCAGCATCGTCATATTCATCATCATTATCATCACCATCATAATCATCATCAGCAGCAGCAACAGCCTCGTCATCGTCATCGTCATTGTCATCGTCATCAGCATCATCATCATCATCATCATCAGCAGCATCATCATCTCCACCACCATTGTCATGATCATCATCATGGTCATCATTATCATCATCGTCATCATCATCATCATCATCATCATCATGATCATCACTTCCCCTCGGCGTCGTGGCGAAGACGCTCAGGACTCCGACGACGACGTCAACCGCGACGGCGGCGACGACTGCCGCGGTCGGCCGTCATCGTCGTCGGTCGTCCTCCGCCGTTCACCACCCGACGTCGCTGCCGCCTTCGTCGTCGGTGGTCGGCCGTCGGTCGTCCATCGAACGTCGACGTCGTCCGTCCTCCTCGTCGTCGGTCGTCGCCGCATCCGCTGTCGTCGGTCGTCGCTTGCAAGAGTAAGCATCGCCAACGCCTTCGTCGTCGCCCGTCGTCCTCGTTATCGTTCGTCGTCGTCGTCGACGCCGACAACGTCGTCGTCGTCGGTCGTCGGTCGTCGGTCGTGTCTCGTGAGTCGTCGGTCGTCGGTCGTCGTCGTCGTCCGTCGTCCGTTGTCCGTCGTCCGTCGTCCGTCATCCGTCGACCGTCGTCCGTCGTCGTCGTCGTCGTCGGTTCTCATTTGTCGGATCCTGGTCGCCGACATCGTCACCGCCGCCGCCGCCGCCGTCGTCGTCGTTGTCGTCGATCGTCGTCCTCCTCGTGGTCGGTCGTGGTCGTGGTCGTAGTCGTGGTCGTGGTCGTGGTCATGGTCGTGGTCGTGGTCGTGGTCGTGGTCGTGGTCGTGGTTGTGATCGTCGTCGTCAACGTCGTCGTCGACTCGTCGCCAGTCGCCCGCCGGGCGCCTCCGGCGGCAGCCACACCCCAGGCTGCTGCGGCGGCGCGGCCCGCATGGCCGGCGGGCTGGGCCCTGGGCTGCAGCCGTGCGCGGCGCGCCTCGGCAGAACGAGGCGTTTCGGCGGCGACGACCGGCGGCGGCGACGACCGACGACCGACGACGACAGCAACGAAACCGACGGAAGCGACGGAAAGCGACGGACGGCGACGGAAGGCGACGGAAGGCGGCGGCGAGGTGCGACGGTGACGACGAGGAGGACGACGGCGCAGAAGACGGCGACGGCGAATGCGACGACGACAACGACGACGACAGCATGGATGACGATGATGATGCTCAGGACGAGGAGGATGATGATAGTGGTGGTGATGATGATGATGATGATGATGATGATGATGATGATGATGATGATGATGATGATGATGATGATGATGATGATGATGATGATGATAATCATGATGACGCTGATGATGATGATAATGATGATACTGATGATGATAAAGAAGAAGATGATGATGATGATGATGATGATGATGATGACGACGATGATCACGACGACGATGACGACGACGACGTCGACGACGACGACGGCGACGGCGACGGCGATGACGGCATCGACGGTGACGACTACAAAGGCGAAGGTGGCGGTGGCGACGACAAGGGGAGAGGAAGAGGGAGACGGATAGAGGGAAGGAGAGGGGAGGCGGAACAAAGGGGGAAGACCACGCAAAGGGGAGGGGGAAAGAGAGGGCGACGGAGAGGGGGAGAGGGCTGGAGAAAAGGGAAGGGGATTGGGGCGGGGGGAAACGACGAGGAACTAACCCGTCCGACGAGTTCGTTGGTCCGTCTGTGCGCAGCTGGACGGGTGTCTCACATGACAACGAGGGCGCCGACGAGACGTTGGGCCTGAGCGCGCGTCGGAGGCGGCTGGGCAGGTGCGGTCTGCTCCCATACGGTGGCCCGTCAAGGCAACGGGCTGCTCGAGACGCGCCAGGTCGAGGCGACGAAGCCACCACACGAGGAGTAGCCAAAAACAAGATGGTGGGCCTACTCTCCACTAGCTGGTATGATAAGAAAAACCACGAGGATGGCTTGAAAACAAAAACTCGACTGCCCCCACGAGGAGAACCCAAGAGCAGGATGGTCGGCCTACTTCCCGCTGCCACCACCAGATCAGGGGCGGCCGACCCATGGAAGTGCTCTGCTGTGCGCCGTCGCCGACCGCGCCCAGCAGACTACTACCGCAGGCCAGCCGCCCATGGTCTGTAGTGGAGGTAGTGGAGAAAAAGAAATAAGCCCACGATAATGAAGGGGAACTGGGACACACAAATAAATACACACAAATAACCAGATTCCCTACATTTTCCCATATTTTCTGGATTATTGTCTTCCCCCCCACTTCCCATATTTTTACATATTTTCCTGGGGATCGACGATTAATTGTGTCTGTGTGTCTTTCCCCCTCCTGATTTCTCCCATGGAGGGCCCGATGCGCCAAGCCCCATCCAGAGATATCGCGCGGCGCTCCGAGCCGACCTGGCCCGCGAGGGGGCCGGCCTCTCGCGGATGTCAAAGGACGGGGAGGGAAGCCCGGCGAGGCTCCAGCAAGGGAGGAGGATGTGGGCACCCGTTTTGGGGGGGGGGAGCATGCGAGGAACTTCCTGGGGGGAAGGAGGAGGAGGAGAGAGGAGGAGGAGGAGGAGGAGGAGGAGGAGGAGGAGAGGGAGGAGGAGGAGGAGGAGGAGGAAGGAGGAGGAGGAGGAGGAGGGAGGAGGAGGAGGAGGAGGAGGGAGGAGGAGGAGGAGGAGGAGGAGGAGGAGGAGGAGGAGGAGGAGGAGGAGGAGGAGGAGGAGGAGGAGGAGGAGGAGAGGAGGAGGGGAGGGAGGAGGCGGGAGGAGGAGGAGGAGGAGGAGGAGGAGGAGGAGGAGGAGGAGGAGGAGGAGGAGGAGGAGGAGGAGGAGGAGGAGGGGGAGGAGGCGGAGGAGGAGGAGGAGGAGGGAGGAGCCCCCCAAAAAAGCCGGCGCCTCGCCCTTGGCCTCCGCCGGGCCTCCGCCTGCGGCCCCGCCGCTCTGCTCGAGCGCCAGCCTCAGCCGGCCTCCTTTTCCGCCGAGGGCGAGGGCGCGCCGAAAAACACGGGGAGGCCCTTCTTCTTGGAGTTCGGGGAGGCCAGAGGCCACATCCACGCGACACGTTGCCGCGGGGGAGGGGGGGCCTCTCAGCGCGCCACCGTCGCAGAGGAGCCAGGCCCCCGGACAAACACACGACGCGGTGACGCTCTCGGGCGCGCAGCGCGCCATCGAGCAGAGGTCCCGGAGGGGGGCCCTGCGCGGCGCGCGTGCGCGCGCGGCGCCGCGTGGGGGAGGCCGCGCCCCGTGCCGTGCGGCGCCCGCGGACGCCCTCGTCCAGCGAGGCGGCCGTGGCAGCGCCGCAGGCCGGCCCGAGCGAGACGGGGGGAAGCCGCAGGTCCTGGGCGGGCGCGAGCGGCGAGGAGAAGAAAGAGGCGCGGCCTGCCGATCGCAGCGCGAGCGCTCAGGTCCCCGAGGCGGGCGCGCGGTCCAAGGGAGCCATCTGGACGGCCAGGGGGCCAGAACAGCCACGCGCAGACTCAAAGCCATTGCGCAGCGACACGGTTTTGGCGGGCGGCCGCGAGCAGGACGGGCCACGCAGTGGGGCCACTATTGAGAAAGGAAGCGACGAGGTAGTCGCTCGCGTCATTGAAGTCGGTGACGCGGGCCCTGGCGGCATCAGGCAAGGCGGACAGCATCGTGGCGGCAACATCGTCTTGTAAGACCCGCTCCGCGCAAGACGCCTGGCGCCGGTGACTACGCCATAAAATACGAGCAGTGTCTTCCGCAGCCATATGAAGCTCTGTCGCGCCTGAACCGCGGGGGGAAGCAGGAGTAAAGTGGAACCCCGCTGGCGCTTCGGAGCGTGGAACGCCGAACGCCGAAAATAACAGGCTCCACCTAGTAACGTAAGCCGCTGTGGCCAAATGTCGACAGAGTATCAGTGGGACCCAACTGCT